AGTCTACATGCATCGACTGCGCCAAGGTTTGTCAATTTGCAGGCTAAAACTTTCCGCATTTAGAAATTGGCAATTGCTACCGATGGCATTGGCCTCTCTTTGAGAGACAAATACACTCTAATATGTTCGCCAGTCTCTCATCAAAATCCAGAAATGATGAAAAGTTTTGTGTTCTATGCGTCACACATTTCCTCTGGAAAGCCCTGCCCCATGCATGTAGACTTACCCAAAGAGGGGAAGCTTTGCATGTCTTCCTCAAATATCTGGGACAGCTCTTTGCTTGACTATGAAACCTTGCACAAGACACTGAATCTTTATCTTTGGCTCTCTATCCGATATCCGGCTGTCTTTGTCCAGAGAAAGGAGGCGCTCGAGATTTCGAAAAAAATCGAAGAGCTGATTATGGACTCGCTTATTTCAATGTCAGAAATTGCCATTAGCTCAAGATCCCATCAAAAGCCGTCCAAAAGCCTGCTAAAAAGCACAAAGTCTGCAAATTTTGGGTGAAACGCCAGTTCGCCGCCAAACTCGCTACCAAAAGGTGTGCCGGCTATTAGTTTTCTTTGGATTTTTACAGAAACGTGTCCAGTATAGCTCCGCTTCTTGTTCCATGTAGATCATGCATAGCTGGTCCATGAAGCCTATCCTTCTGTGGAATAGTCTGTGGGAATCCAAAGCCTCACCAGAAAGCCAAAATAAAAGCGAATGCCTGATTTTTAAAAGACACCGTTAGTAGTTTCTGCATATATCTTTTGATCAACTTTTATTGGGCCAAATTATTGGAAATGGGAAAACTTGTGACACGGTATAAATACATGCGAACAAAAATTGAATGTGAAAAGAATCAAAACGTAGAGTTTTCAGGTTCTCGCCCCTAGCCCTAAGTTTGGGTACATATTTTCAAAATAAACATGGAGCTGTGCTTGCTTTCTGGCACATCCATTGGATGCCGATAAATTTGGTTCTCCGTTTTTCATGAAAGAAACGGCTCATTTAAATGTATGGGCAAAATATATTCTTTTCATAGTTTCTTTGCTGTTTTCTGCTCAATCCATAAAAAGGGAACGAATAGAAGTATATCAAAAGGAACGAATAGAAGTATATCAAAAGGAATAAAATCAAGCAGACTGAGAGTGAATAAAGTGAAAAAATCCCGCAGGAAAGTATGGACTGAAAGGTAAAAAGAGTAAATTAGAGGTGAAAAAATCACACAAAGGATTGGTCAACTTTTATCAAGAGGCAGGAATGAGATCCCAAGAGAGCTACCAAATAATATTTTTGGTCTTATCGATAAGAACTATGATAATCTCTAAAGTCAAAAAGAGATTCCATCCGCAGAAAGGGAATGAAAAACGGCTTTGTGGAAAAGTGCAGCATCAGAAAACATATTAAACCCCCCATATATGCACAAAATGTGGATAAAGGCAAAGGGGGAATCTATACTTTGACGTGCCAACTAGACAAAACCCCCCAATAAGCTCAAAAGAAGCTTAATCAAATTAAAGTACGATAGAACAAGGCAAGGGAAAACTTCTCCAAGAAATATTCGCATCATATGGGGCTAGGTTTTTATTGTACTCGGGTTTTCATTTCACCAGATACGGCATATAAAATAAAATGAGTTAGAAAGTAGCCACAGGGCACATGCATGGGTGCCAGCGTTAAAACACTAGGCAACATGGTGATTTGAAACTACATCGATTTCAATTGACTGGCTGAAAAGCCGGCTTTGATACAAAGTTTGCAGCGATCGAGTTTATACTTCCCGAGACTAAACCACTGTCAAAGTTTATTAATTTTCCAAAGCAATCTTTTTAAACATCGAGGTGGATATCTCAACACCAGCAAAGCATGCTGCGTTTGCTGGGAATGCTCTCAAAAGGGCCGGTCCAAGGCCCTTAAACAAGGCTCTGGGACCCTCCTTTTGCAGCATGCCTTTTAATAGTTGGGTCCCAGACTCCTCAGATCCAGCTTGGATTCGACTTTTAATCACATCTGCAGGTATTGCTACAAGCCAGTTGGCCATCCCAGCAAGACCGCCAGCAACAAGTATTGAAGCAACGGGAAGGGATGATGAGGACGACGACGATGACGATGACAGCTTTTTTTTCAATATCTCATAAGTCGCAAAATAGGCTACACTTCCAGGTGCATCTCTCGCCAGCGTTGCCATGGTTCCTCTGTACAGCATTTTGAGACTGTTACCAACTCCTTTGGTCCTGAGCATTGATATCAAAATAGAGCCAGGCCCTTTGTATGCGGTTCCTTCCTGTATCTGTGCCATAACTTTCAACCGTTCAAACGGCACCATTAAAGCTGTCGTTGGAAGGGCTGAAAAGGCCCCAGCAAGGGATATCTGACCCAATGTGGGCTTGGTCTGCGGATCTCCATTAAAGCTGGTTACCATTTTCATTCCAAATGCATATCCCCAAAAGCTTACTGCGAAAATAGGAGTAACTCCAATGATCGGGGCTAACATTCCGCGGTAGAGACCCAGAATGCCGTCTTTTGTGACAATACTGTTAAATGCATTTCCCATCGATCCATATTGATGGATTCCGGCCTGAAGACGGACCTTTACCAAGTCGAATGGATGTCCAACAAGGACGAGACAGATACCGCCCACGCCGCCAGAGACAAAGCTAATCCAACCCGGCACTGTAGTTTTCGTCTCCTTCATTGCGGAAAGTGGTAAGGCTTGATTTGAAATCTGCTCAACGTCCATAAAATCGATACAACGGATACAAACGATCTCAGTGATGAACGGTTAACGAAGACGCAAGTCTAAAATTTCGCCGTGTTTTCCTAAATAAAACAAAAGGGCACCACCACTGATGCCTTTCTGATTACCAAAGACACAAATGACGTTGCATGCTTTAATTTAAATGTAAAAACATTTAATTTCAAAAAAATACCCAATGCACTCCATCGTCATCCAGGAGGCCGATTTTATTTCGCAAGAGCATCTCATCGCTGGCGACAATCCAAACAAGCTTCCACCCTGGCTTATAGAAAATCTCTCGCACCTATCTTTTAGGCATTGGCTACCTGTACAAGCCCATCTGATACCCATGATCATGGCCAGGAATAACGATTTTATCGTCAATGCGCCAACGGGCTCTGGAAAAACGTTGACCTATCTCATCCCAATAATGACGATGCTTTCTTCGCGCATTGTTCCGGCACTCCGTGCATTGATTATTGCGCCAACGCGTGATTTGGCGATGCAAATATACAAAATTGCGGTTTTGCTTACCAAAGGTTCTGATTTGAGAACAATTGTTGTCACTGGCGGATCAAATTCGTCATCAAAGTTCTGCGAAGAGCAGAGAGCAATTTCGTATGGTGGCGATGATGGAAAAATGGGGCCGGATTCGCTTTTCCAGCCCGTTGACATCCTTATCTCGACCCCAGGACGACTGGTGGATCATCTCAATGTGACGCCTGGATTCCATCTTTCTAACTTGCAATTCCTTATTCTGGATGAAGTTGATCGCATTGTAGATGGCATCCAGTTCCAAGATTGGATCAATCCCGTTCTAAACTCCATGTCTGATTGCCAAAAGCGATGGAAGCCGCATGCCGAATTGGAGCCTTTTCTCAAGAAATTAACTGCAAATGAAAATTTTCATTTTGAGCAGCAACGGGCCGTTAAACTTTTATTTTCGGCAACCATCACCAAAAACCCGCTCAAGCTTTCTCAATTGAGGCTTGAAAACTTGGAGATTGTAACTCTAATTCCAGGAGGACATCTGACCGCAGCGCACAAAAATGGCGAAGCAAATTTAGACAATCCGAATGGCTCTTTTATTTCGGCTCAAAATCAGTCCGCGTGTGTGGCTACGGAAAGCTCTTCAATAGCATCTGAGCCTCGAGGCGCTTTTTCTTCCGAACTTTGCGCATTGGAGTCCGTTCTAAAGTTCCAGACCCCACTGGCTCTGCAGGAACACTTTTCTGTAGTCTTGGCAGAATACAAACCCATTTATTTTCTCTCCTTGCTTCGGCGTAATTCGACCGCTAAAATTCTTGTATTCACAAAGTCGGTTCAATCCACAGACAGGTAAGGGTGTATTAAGTGATAATTGTCGATAGGTTGTATCGATTACTAAAGCAGATGGACTCTTCGCTTTTGATCGATTATCTTTCCTCGTCGCGTGGGAACGAAGAGCGCAAAAAGGTGATGAAATGCTTGGAAGAGGGCCAAATCAAAATGTAAGAGCCTTGCCCCTTTTCACACATAGACTTGTTTCTTCCGATGGTCTTGCTAGAGGAATTGATATTTTCCAGATCGATCTGGTCATCAATTATGACACGGCCGCTCATCCCCGGACGTACATTCATCGAGTGGGTCGAACTGCAAGAGCAGGCAATTCTGGAACTGCCCATACCCTTCTTGTTCCGCAAGAAGCCCGCTTCTTTAAAGAAATGATGAAAAAAATCCATAGATGCGACGGCCAGAAAATCAAGCAGGTCACCCTAGAAAGGCCCAGTCAAGAACTAATATGCGCTTTTCAGACTGCCATTCAAGCACTTTCCAAATAATTTACCCGACTCTTGTATTTATTTATTAATTAAAACTGCCATTTGATCCAATCCAATCCAACCCAACCCAACCCAACACATCCGTAAACGGCGGCGCTATTCAAAGAATCGAGTAAAAGATGTAGCAACGGCAAGGTCCTAAGAAACATTTCCAGTGCTCTAATAATTATTTATTGAGGAAGGATCGATTTAAGCGCTTCTTTTTGTGTTTCTGTAAGTGCGGTGGGGAAAATAACGTCAAACTTCAATATGAGGGCACCTCTCTGCTCGGGCGTTTTCGATATGGGCATTCCATATCCTTGAAGGGTTTTGGTATCTCCAGCCCTGACAATTGGGGACAATCTGACTGCAAGGGGCTGCCCCTCGATTGTTGGAACACTAATCATCGCGCCAGTGAGTGCCTGTAAAAGAGAGATTTTTACAGTGTGATGAAGGTCGTTTCCTTCCCTCTTAAATTGCGCGTGTGGCTTTTCCTCGATGGTGAACACAACATCACTTGGGGTCATTCCAGGAATCTGATCTCCCTCTTTTGGGAAGGTTATTTTGGTTCCAGCCTTCCACCCCGGCTTGATATCAATGGAGACTATCTTCTCCTCATATGTGACAGCTCTGGTAGAAGGGTTCTGAATTTGGCGCTTAATTTTCATCTTTTTCGTGACGCCAGCAAATAAATCTTCAAGAGAAACACCAACTTTATGTATTATCTGTTGAGGCGAAGAGGCTGCTGCAGATTGCTGGCTGGGCCCCCTTCTGGAGGATTGGGAGGCACCTCTTCGTGTGGAGGATGGCATTGCACCTGCCTGGCTGAAGAAGCTTTCAAAATCAGCATCTCCACCCGCGCCGCCACTGAAAAAGGGCGAGGAGTTTCCAAACAAATTTGCAAAAATATCTCTCGGGTCTTGGGTAAACGCATATCCTCCACCTGGTTGACGGCCTGGAAATCCCGAAAAATGAAATGTCGATCCGGCTGGAAACCCGCCCTGGGATGCATAGGATTGTGGAATTCCGCCCTTGAGTCCTTCTTCTCCGTATTCATCGTATATGGTTTTTTTTTCTGGATCACTAAGAACATCGTATGCCTCGGCAATGTCCCTGAAAATATCCTCCGCCGAGGGGTCCTTGTTTTTGTCGGGGTGGTATTTTAGCGCTGCCTTTTTATATGCCTTCTTTAGCTCTTCAGGCGAGGCACCTCTTGTTATCCCCAAAATTTTATAGTAGTCCTTCCCCATATGAGAATAGTGTGGATATTGAAAAATTGGATGGTAAATAACATTTGATCGCTAGAATTTACTAGAATATTCCAAATTAAATGGCTACTTGACAATTTTATTTTAAATTTATTTTGTAATTGTTCCTGCCATCTGTTATGAATGAAAATCGGCGAGCCCCTCCTAACATGCCCACCACGACGATTAAAATCCCCATCAGCCTGCCACCGCAGCTCCCCTCTCCCCCATCATGCTCATCAACACCCTCGCCACCACCCTCTGTTGTTGGCGACGGTATTCTCCGAAACTGATTCCTAGATGAAAGATATTATTGCAACTCTAAATCCTCCAATTCGGTAGTCCCTAAAGATCAAACCCATCGAATTTTGCATAAATTGGGACTGAAAAATATAAATTTAAACGCAAATGCCACCATTTCCTTAAAAGACCTGAGTGCCAGGTGTATTCTTTATGCAAACACGGAACTTGAGCAGATCCTTGACTCGTAGGCTGGCTGTGTTTATTTTTAGGCTTCACCACCAGGCCGCTGGCGACAGGGTTAGAATGTTGCTGCACTATTTCCATTCCATTCGCACGCTGTTCTTAGCATTACTGGCAACGTACAGGTGGTCAAAATTCTCCAACGAGATAAACATCGCCACAGTGATCAATGGATCTCCATTAACCTGTATAGGCCGTCATTATTGAGCTTCAATCCTTTGGCCTGATATTTAGAGATGCAGCCGACAAATTGGCAATAGTTCATGCTTCTTTGAAGGGCTATAGGTAGGCCGATCCAGATGTGATCATTGTAGGTTTCCCTCCACAGATGTTTCGCAGGATGCCATTAATGGACTGGTAATTTGGAAATCACCTTCTGATAAACAGGATAAATGGAATGAGCCGCTCTCCCAATCTTTTGCGCTGAAAAGGGACAAATTTTTGTGCATTGTTAATGGGCGAATAAGAAAAAAGCTTTATTGTCTTTTGTGCGGTGAAGAAAAGCCCGTACCCTCGTATGAGATTATTGGCATCGATCAAGGGTGCGTTCTTTTAAACTTTTTTGATACCTTCGAGGTAAGTGCAAAGTTACATGTTAACATTTTGAGGTCATCTTGACTCTTAGAGGTGCCGATGAGAAATGGAGATTACTTTCCATCAAGTTTTTGTCAAAGCTCAATTCAGAGGGCGGCACTCTTAAAGGTACCCTTGAGGTTTTGATTGAATTTTGCAAGATTTTCTTGGGGCAACCTCTTCATCAGAAGGAGACGAGTATATTTACTTTGAATTGATTATTTTACTGCAGTCGTTGCTAGATACGGGATCCTCGCTTGAGGTTCTGCGAGGGCCGTTGCTCAATCTTTTGCTGCACTGCAGAAGGATTTCATTGTCTAATTATTACCAGACGTTCTTTCAAAAACAGAAAAACAGGTCGTACATCCCCTTTTTGCTTGACGCCAATGCAAGTTTTGAAGAGTTGTCGATCCTCCTTTTTACTTTTGGTCCATCATCAAGCCAGTACAAATATTGCTTCAAACCGGGCGATGCTCCTTCCGAATTGCCTCAAATCGACGCTTTATTGTTGAACCTGAATGTGTCTGCCCCGCTCTTTATCCGCTCATTGATAGCTTTTCGTATCAAGAGCATGCTAAGCACGCTATATCGCCAACTACATTTGCTCGGCGATACGCAGCAAAGTTCGTTTCTTCCCAATGTTTGCTGGGATCTCGATTGCACACGCGAGCCTAGTTATATTTCGGGCACTCTTTTTGAGTTTGGCCCTCGTTTGGATCATCATCTGCTCACGGTGGCCATCAAAGTTTGCCCCTTCACTGGGCATTTTCTTCTGCTGCCAGAAAGTTCTACGAATTCGTTTTTTTGTGCGAGCAAAAGCGAGAACTTTTCCGATGTCGCCTCCGATGTTTACAAGGCCATTTATTGTTTGTTACCAAAAGTATGGTGGAATATTTGCTGTTTTTACTAGAAACGATATGCCTTGTGGAGCGGGTATTTCCAGAAGACCTATCCAGACCTTCTGCTTGGCCCTTTACTTGAGCTGAGGCAAGAGCCTACCCTGCAGCATCCGTTTATTTCGGTCCACAAACAAGAGGGGTCGCCAAATATTTTGTGGCCCTCAAAAGAGACCATGCTACCGTTGATAAGTTTGCTTAATGAACCACCCCCACATCCTGTATATATTTTTATCTCTCCAAGCCATTCTTACGTGATAAAGGTGACGTTTGTTGCCCAATTTTTACATGTCAATTTGCAGGTAATTACTTCGAAAAGGTAATCTGCTTCCAAATGAGCTTTTAGGCCCTACTGCTTGAAATCTGCAGTCCAATTTGAGCAGATTCTCGAGTTGTTTAGTTCATCTTCGGAGCGGTCTACTAATGAGATCTTTTCGTTTTCTCCGGTCGATTTTTTCCCGTTTATTCGCCTCATCTCGGTAAAGAAAATGATGCACAAAGCATTTTCGGACTTTACTGGCGACACTGCGCCCTGCTCCATTGAGCTTTCCAAAAACGAAGGCACCGCCTTCGTTTTTGACGCGTCGTTTTCGTTTTCCATCCCAACTGGCAGCAAGGAGAGCTCAAAAAGCCTCCACTGCAAACTGGAGACTGTTGTTAATATTTTGGGGCCGCCTCTGGTGATGGTAGTTTTTTTCTTTTCATGCTAGATTTCACCGAGCATTAACGACAACAGTTACAAATCAATTTTCCCTTGCGGCTCTTATTCCGCCGAATCTTTTGAAGGCTTGTCTCGAATTCTATTTCAGTGGTGTTCCCAGGCATATCTTTCCATACTGGCGCTGGAGCTTTCCGCGCTTGGATTTGTGCATATCGAAGTCTCGTGGAAAGGCCATAGTAACCCGACAATTATTTTCCCACTTTGGCATGCAAATGAGTATATTGACCACATGATACCGCCTGAATATACCCCCACCCCCAAAATTGCCCTTTCCATCATTCCAGACGCGGCGGCTTTGAAGTGGAGATGGCCATCTCCGCAGCATCTTTTATCGTTTGCAACTTTTGAAATTGACGGCCACTGCTTTGATAAGGCGCATGTACTTCGGTTGACAAAATGGTACTTCTCTAGAAGGCTTTCCATAATAAGCACAATCAAAGTGAGGATTCCGGCTTGCTTACTTACGTTAGTACTTGCGTCTGCTTGTGTGTGGATTTAGCCCACTTGTTGAAATCATCTCTTTAGCACGGATTTGTATCATCGAGAATGCGGAACTCAACGAAAAGCTTCAAAACTGCATTTTCATTATCTCCMAAACACCCAACATCAAGTACGCCATTTTGAGCATCTCAATTTAGACACGCCTTTACTTTAGGTTCGTTGCCCCGTCTTAATGCCTCTGTTTTTTTCCAAGATGCCGGGCTTTACAGGCCGCATCTAAAATCGGCACATCCAATACTGCAGGAGGTTCGTCCTTTTGAATGCGAAATATTTCGAAACGGCTTCGATCCCGGTATGGACAATAGAGCCTCCGTCTCTGCAAATGCTCCTGGTATTCCTTCCCCTCCAGCTCCTACTTCGTCATGGAATAGCTTTTTTGGAAAGCTTATTCGGGCAATCCACAACCACTGGCCGCAATATTGCCTTGCTCCTGATGCCGGCGGTGGAATTGGAATTGAATTGGGCCTTGTTCTGTTGCCACACATCATCAAGCCTTGCCCTCCCCAGGCGCTGAGTGAGGCGACCAAAGACGCCGATAAGAAGCTGTCACCACTTTTACCTGCCCCCTCTGTCATCAAAACTGTAGGTTTGGCATTGGGGCGCTTGATTTTATTATCAAGCATATGGGAGCGGTTTGGGATTGAGGTTCTGGAGCCTCTTTCGAAGGTTTGCTGTTGTTACCCCTTTAATGGTCCAGATATCGTATGTAAATATTTATTCCTCCTCAGACGAGCTTATTGTTCTTCTACACGCGTGGAAAATAACCCTGATTCCGTGGGCTCATGGTGATCCTCGGTTGGACCTTCCATTTATCAAAAGCATCATTGAGCCCTCAAATCTTCCTCAGGCATCGCTGTATTCGGCTGAGGAATTTCAAATTGTCTTTAAAATCTTATCTTTTGCCCTTGCACCGTTTTCAAATGCATTCTTTCCAATATCAGAGGGCAAAGGCTCTTTGAAAATGACAATGATTGACACCGAAAAGCTCGAAATGCTGCTGATGATCTTTAAAATTTTGCTTTTACCTCCCGTTGTATTAAAAGATGCAATTAGGCTTTTTTCGCTGAGCGGCATGAACGGCATCATTGAAAGCGGATTGTCGCTTATTTCTGCCACGGCTGCACTGGCAAATGCATGCAAAATGACCTTGGTTTTGTCACCTGCGGATTCGTTGAAAATTTTCCCCGCAGAAGGATTGATCCATTTCCAAGTTAAAACGCCCCACCCAACGCTAACTGTGTAGATTAACTTTTCCCTGGAACAACTAGAGAAGAGTCTTGTATTAAAGTTTGCTTACAAGTGGCGAGAAAAGGTTATGAACCTGCAGACCCAGGTATGGTGTTCATTTCCTTACTCCCACCCTCACTTAGGATACTCCATTTGAAGTCAAAATTGGGCAAATTCTTTCGGCCCTTCAGGCAAAGCCAGAAGCACAAAGAGTCCCCTCGTTGATGTACTGGAGTACTGTATTATTGTCAAAGCTCTTATTTATGGAAATGAGAAAGGCCAGCACTAAGCTACTGACCACCATCGATCGGTGTCAATAGCCGTTATTCGTAAAATTTAAAGTTTATAAAATATCCCTTGAATCCATACCCTATACATTTGCAGCTGACGCTTTCTGTTCACCAATAGACGCCTGTCCTCCTTGACCTCCTGGATTTGCATGGGGTAGTTGGGATTTTTCAGAACCAAATCGGACAATTMATCTGTGGTAAAAAAGTACGTAAGAGTATTGTCTCCTCGTTTGTATTGATGTCCCTGAATCCAATTTCCCGATGGCATCCGCAGCTGCGCCAAATCGTATAGTCCATAATCCCTGACGAAAATTCGACCACCAGGCTTCAAGGTCTACCGGTAAAACATGGCCCCTAGTAGTTACCTTCAACGCCTTTTCTATGGCAACCTCCATGAGTTTCCTTGGGATTGCAGAAAGCACAAACACCATAAGGACCAGATCGACAGACTCGTTTTGTATCGGGAGCGGCGTACACGCATCAGAGATGTCATGGCAAAACACATTGCACCTTTTGGGATCAAACCGCTCGTCGGACTATGCTTAGCTGACCTGATTTCCTTACCTGTACAAGACCAACAGCAACGGGCGAAAAATCACACGCATCGATAAATACAGAGTTACATGTTCCCGATAAAAGGGGAAAGATCGAGCTTCCGCTACCGCAGCCAATTTCAAGAATATGGTAAGGCTCTGATCCCGGCGATTGAAACAGTGAAGAAAGCTCATGTTCATACCAGTTTCGATCTTTGAAAAAGTTTCGTGAATTGTTGGTATAAAACTTGTCCCATTTGGAAGATAGCCAGGGGTCGCAGTTAGCAGAATCCCCGTTGGCTTTGTGAGCGGCAACAATGTTCTTTGCTTGCTGGAGCTGTTCCGGGCACCATGGAACATTGTCCCATGAATTATGATCCCACACGGCCTCTTTTGAAAGAAGGCATCTGTTTCCTTCAAATGCCACCATTAATTTAAAAAAATTTAATTTTCAAATGTGCCATCGGAACACCAAAAAGGCCAATGTATTGCAGTATGGCAGCATAACTTGAGATATCCCCTTTCTCAGCTGATAAAGTATCTAAAATCCGTCAAAAAGGTGTTGATAGGGATCTACTTCCCAAGAAGGTATAGGTTCGGGTCTAATTTCTGGATACCGCTCAAAATTCGCAGAGTCGCCTGGAAAGCTCAAAGCGGGCCTTATTGGCGGTGGGATCCGCCGCCAATAGATAGCATTCCAATCGACCCCCGTAAACCAGGGATGCTTTTTGACATCGTTTGAGCCTCCTGTGGAGAGGGAAGACCCCAATCTTTCTTTTCTGTCTGCATTGAGAAGATGAGAAATAAACAACCTGGTGTCAAGATCAATCCACTCCGGGAATGCAATGTTTCCGAGCAAAATTTTTTCGTAAATCTGAAATGGGTTTGAATCGTAGAACGGGGGAAATCCCACAAGCATCTCATAAATGAGAATTCCAAGGGCCCACCAATCAACCTCTTTTGAGTGGCCCTGGCCCTGGATGATTTCAGGTGCTAAATATTCGGGAGTGCCACAAAGGGTCCAAGTCCTAAAATCAATTAAAATTTGTCAGCAAATCATACATTGATTCGAAGAGTGCTTTTGCAAAGCCAAAATCTGCGATCTTAATGTGTCCCAGTGCATCTAGAAGAAGGTTTTCTGGCTTCAAGTCCCGAAACACAATGTTTCGAGAGTGCAGGTATTCCAACGCCAGGACCAACTCGGCGGCATAAAAGCGGGTCACCGGCAGAGAAAATCTGCCGTATTTCTTTAAATATGAAAATAACTCTCCGCCAGAGCCATACTCCAACAGCATGAACAGATATTTTTGGTTTTGAAAAGTTGAATGCAAGTGGATGATAAAAGGATGCGAGCACGATAAAAGAATCGTCTTTTCCGAAAAAACATGCTCAAGCTGCTTCAGCCGTAAAACCTCCCGTTTGGACATCATTTTGAGCGCAAAGAAGGAAGAATCTGTGATGACTTGGTGCTGAAACCGATATTCGGAGCTCGAGCATTGTCTGCCATTTGGCGAATAGAGCATATCTGCGGCCGGTGAAATTGGGGGTGAAAATGGCTGTCTAAACCGGCAAAGATATACCCTGCCAAAGGTTCCTGTCCCAAGGGTATTGAATAGCTCAAACTGATCCAGGGTCAGGTTTTGAAAGGAAGGATGGTATTGTTGGTTCGAAAAAAGATAAGGAGACGCAACATGGTTATTATGGCAGTGGTGGCATGGAGCCAATTGGTTCTGGTGATAATTCAGCGAAATTTGATCCCCGTACTGAAAATCCGGAAATAATGGGCTATATGAGGGTGACGGGACCGGCTGATAAATCGGATCACAGATTATCGGGCATGGATAATATCTGCTTGGAATATTCAATAATTGTGGATCGACCGGGCTATTTTCACGCGTTCCGCTCATGTTTTGCCGTTTGCCTCTAGTATCCGATAAATTCAGCGGCAAAGACATTTGTAAATTTTACGAAAGCTACAAATAAAATATCCCATTGGAGAGTTTGAAGCTTAATTAAATTTAATTAAATTTAAACGACATCGTTCAGGCCATGATGATTCATTGGAATTAAAATTTAAATTATGTGAAGAAAATTTCTTCTCCAAATGTCTCAGTTGTTGGGTAACAAAATACGCCTCTTCACCCTTTTCCAATGACCCGTTGAGACGTTCAATTCCAATAGAGTCAGCTCCAAGAAAGTTATATCCTGCAATAGAGAATCTTTTGTAAGTTTCTCACCTAGGACCAAGTAGAGGCTTTCCATCCCAGCTGTTTGTGGTAAAAACAGGTCCTTATTTTCCGCAGTAACTTGAACTAAAAGTTAACATTTCAAAAGCTACTCTTTTTTCCCTCAAAAAAGTCAACTACAAGTTGGCGGCGGCGTTCACTATCCCCGGGATCGGTGGCAGGGGAAGAAGAGGAGCTAACAAAATTGCAACCTTCAAAGATTTTGTCTATGTCTTCTGAAACTTTGGTCTTCGATTTTGAGGGCGACAGTTTCCTTTTAAGTTTTGGAGATAAAACCGGCTTTTCAACATATATCTCATCGTCTCGATCCAGTTTTTCGTCGATCGAATCATCATCACCGTCACCCTCGCTAGAAGATAAAGAATATACACTATCGATTTCTTCGTCGTCGTCTTCGTCATTAGAAAGATGCTTAATAGGGGAAGAATTGCCATAAAAAGTCTGCTTTTCGTCCACAACTGGCAGAGAACATCCATTCTCGTTAAATTTCGTGAGAAAATTGGAAGGAAATTCTTGCGAGAGAATCTCGTCACAAGGACAAATAAGCTCTTGATGGACGCACGGGGAAATGTTCCTCAAGTCCACATAAATTAAAGTAATGGATCTTTTCTTTTTCGATAAAATTTCCTTCTGGATGACGTCCATCGTTGCCTTCAGTGAAGCCATTTTGTCTCCCCTTTTTGCAAGTGCAAGGCCATCTTTTGTGCAGGAAATTTCTTTCAAAATCATCGCTTCCTTTGTTATGGAGCCTTTTTTCTGTTTTGCGTGGAGAGCACGTTCTCTCCTCTGAAGAGCTGTTTGTCTTTGGATCTTGTTTACTTCAATGTTCATTGCTTTGTCAGCTTGTCTTTCAGCTAAATTTAAAATTCTGCAATTCTCCAAATCTAAGCGAGAACCAGGGCTTGGCAACTGGTGATTTTGGAATCTAGGGGGAGATTGAAAATCTACAGCCCAGGATGGATCTCTGGCATTAATTCTAACGGAGGGTTTTTGTATTGCCAAATCAGCGGTAAAAGCACTGTCTGGATGATTTGATGGCACCTTTGGTCGAGGAATAAAAAGAGCCTTTGGTTGCGCTGAGCTTACATTTTCGCAATTATGGATTTGAGAGGTTCGCGTATCTAATAAAGAGCTAATCCCCAAACGATTTCGTGACCGTCGAGCACCAACGATGGATTGATCCAATTCTATTTGTGGATACTTCAGACTGTTCGATTGGTGTTTGTGCTCTGTGGATGTCAGGATATTTTGTAATCTCCAATTAGAAATCCAAGCCTTACTGTGAAAACACCGGAAGTGTTGAAATGCATTCTGGAGTGAAAATGTCCAGTTTCGTTTGATGGGAGCCATTTTGGATTAGGGAGAAAAGAAATTCTATCCACGGGTCCTTTGTACCAGGCTCAAAAATAGAAAATGGGGTAATTTTTGGCCAAGAATGTATTTGACCCAACAACCCACACCTGATAAGAATGAGTTTCCAATACGAGCGCGGAAGCATGTCGCCAAAGTTTTCCAAGGAAACCATGTTCAGCGTGTTTGAATTTCCCGCAATTACACTGTAAAGTTGCAGTAAAAATTCCTTTGTATGTTGCTGGTTGGGTTTAGGAGAGCCATTAGCGTAAACCATTTCCAAATGGAAATAAAATTTGAATTTACAGCTGTGCAGCGTCAAATGAAAAGTAGTGGCATCCATCCAATTGAAATGGCTCGCGGTTTTATATATTAAAATTAACTTCGTAACCCAATTTTCAAGTGCACTTATGGCTAAATTGGGATGATCGTAATTGGACCAAGCGGGTGTGTCTGTGTGCAGCCTAGCTTGCCAGCAGACAAGAAAACTATGATGAAAACAAGCAGGGGTTACTCAACATCTCGAAGAAGGAGGTGGATGCCCTTTTTTTTCCTGTGCAGGCGACAGGAAATATGCTTGAAAACAATGTAGGAGAGTTGATATTCTCGAAAAAGGCTTTAGGCGAATGTCGCCGATCAGCAGGAATAATTTCAGTGTGCTCAAAGCCATCTTGGATGAGACAGGCCTCGAAATCCATGTGTTGGGCGCTGGTTATGGGTATTTGAGAACTCGCGGTATCAACATAACGCTGACAGTCATCGGCATCAAGCGATGAAAATACATTATATGACGAGGGAGATTCAGCGCTCCAAATGCCAAGTTGAAAACTATCCATCCGCAATATCTTATTTTCGATTTCCTAGTCATTATAGGATATGGTTTACGGTGGAAATTTTATGAGGGCAAATCAGCGCTTCGGAATCTTTAATAAGGGAAGACAAGTAATCGGCAGTCAATTCTGTTTCTGGATCAAAAAGCAACTTTCGCTTTGAAGTCGGTGATAGAGATTTTCGCTTCTTTTGACCTGGAGCTGCCGTATGGCGATCAGAAATGAAATCGGAGAGATCTGTAAAGATGGACGAAATTTGCAAAGGTCCCACTGGCAAATCAGGAAGGCGGTCCTTAAAAGTCGGCGACTGGGAAACAATTTCATTTGGATCGAAAACCTCTGGCAAATCTTTATCTGCCTCTGTAAAGTCAAAAGACGATCTAATAGATGAGTTGACTGGCTTCCATAAATACATGTTAAAGTCCTCAAAATTAAGGAAGCTGCTAGAGGACGAGTTGTGCTTATTTGGGTGCCGGATACAAGAAAGCGGCGATTCCCCGCCACTTGATGAGCTTGGCAATAAATATTTCGAAAAATCCTTGTCACTGCTAAATGAATTTAGTAGCGAGTTTTGTCTAAAGGCTTCTGGAGATAAATGCGTGCTCGGCTGCCAAGGCTCATTGCCAAGAAAAAGATCAAACTACATCGATACATGCCACTAAGATACCTCGGTGGTAGGGGCAAATAAAATGTCTAAAAAAGGGGATGAGGGGGGCGCAACAGGTGGGATCGTTATTTTGTCCCTCTTGCTTTTAGAAGCTTGTGCAGAATCCCGTTGCCGTACAGAAGAAGCCGGTAAAGAGATATTAATCCTACTCCAGAATTGCTGGATATCAGCTACGATAAGTTAGCACGCCATACCAAAAAAAATATGCATCTGTTGGTCGTAAATCTTAATTATTCCCAACAGAAGGTTGGATGATAATCTTAAGGCGAGAGGTTGAGGCGGATTTTGGAGATATTCACACGTCTCGACCAAATTGATTTTTGTAAAGTCTTTTTTGGCCAATTTCTTGGCAAAATTTCTTGATCCAAGTGTCCCAGCCAGCCTAGCTAGTTATGCAAACCACGGGCAAGTACCATATGATGGATAATCCTTCGTTTTTCTTTGAAAAAAGAAAGTCGGTCGAATAGAACATATTTCTTTTGAGCGCTATTTGTTTCTATATCCCAAATTATGGCGTGAATGCGTGTGCATTGATCATGCAAAGGCCACATGGACATCAATTTCTATTGCGGATTGTAGATAAAGTTTGATGGCGGCAGGTGAAAAAATTTGCGAAATTTAAAAGTTGAATTTAAATATTCTCTTTGACATTTAATGGTAAGGCCCAACCGATACCCTCTTGTTATCAAATTCCATCCATCCTTTTCTACGCTCGCGCATGCTCACAAAAGCATGCTATGGCTCGATTCTTATCTATTTCTTCGCCCTTGTTATGCTCGCGTCCGATGCTTACTTTATAGGGAAGAAAACACGGTTCGTTAGCCCATTCGGGAAAAGTCAAAAATCAGACACCCAAGGTTGAGAAGCAAGAGAAAAAGAAAAAGCTCACCGGTCGTGCCAAAAAGAGAATGCTCTACAACAGACGCTTTGTAGCTCAGGTTGCAACTGTCGGGGGACGTGTCAGAGTAAGATTTCGGCAATTGACCCATTTTATTTTAGATGAACCCAAACACACCCTCCAAGTAGCTCTGTGTGGCCCCTTTTGTTTTTAATTCTTATAAAGAATCCAAATATTTTGCAGTAATTAGCTAATTTTTGTAAAACAACGTCCCACAAGATGAATCCATCATCTGTCAAAGCTAGGTTCTTGGGAAGGGTGCCATCGTACAGGGCAATAGATCAAATCCAGAACGAAGTTTTGCGATCAGTTCTCGCACGTAGGCATCGAGTCGGCGAGCTTCTTTTGTTTGAGCTCACCCATCCAACTATAACTGTAGGGCGGAGGGAGCATTATGCAGCCATATTGCCCGAAAACCGCCCCGCATATACCAATCTAAAAGCGACCGTGGAACATGCGGGAGCAGAGTTCATAGAGGCAAGTGCTTCGATTGATTTTCATCGCATATAGACATCAAGAGGTGGTCAAATGACGTTCCATGGGCCTGGACAGCTAGTAGCCTATCCAATATTAGATCTGAACATGCTTAACATCAACTCACTTCACAAATATGTGTCAATGCTCCATCGGGTCATCTGTAGTGTGTGTCTTTCTTTCGGAATAGATTCGACCCTCCCCTTTGAGGGGTCGAGTGTCCCCTCGCAAAGAGTTGGTGTGTGGGTCAATGGAAATCAAAAGATCTCCTCGATCGGATTTTCGACCACGCGATGGGTGACTTCCCATGGATTTTCCATAAATGTGTCCACCGATCTATCCTGGTATACGCGGTTCCCACCTTGTGGCAGCCCACTTTCTGAAAAAGGAATCACATGGGACGCTACCTCTATCAAAGAACAGCTTCCTACAGGCTCCAGATGCCCCACCCTTGAAGAGGTAGCTAATACAACGATTTTGGCGTTCGAAAAGGAATTTGTATGCAGGCCCAAATAAAGTAACCAAGTTTTATTGGATTTTGGTGGCATAGATGATTCACAATCTGTACAAGTGAATATCTTAAAATAGATAAATAGGGAGGCCTGTGCATTCATGAGATGATGTCGATGTTGTTCTGGCTCCCAAGCTGTCTATGTAACCGAAATCATATGTCGGAAGTGGTTTGGAGGCCAAGCTTTGCGTTGGAAGCGTATAAAAAGGGGCCCCAAGCTGGGACTTGTTGCTTTTCTCAGTATTAAGATCCATAGGCGCAGATGTGACATTATCAAGAGACTCCTCCATAGCTGCATGTGAGACATTATCAAGAGACGTCTCCATAGGTGCAGGTGTAACATTACCAACACACTCCTCCATAGGTTCAACAACGTTAGAAATAGGATCTTTGTCTTTTGTGAAAACCTCGAGGGCCTGATTACCACCATCTGCATTGGCTCCTACAATTTCCTGATCTACATTGTTCTTTACTTCAGAGAAAATAAACTTGGAATCGGATGGGTCAAATAGACCAGGACATTTGGGATGAGCAGAGCCGCCCAGGTCTTTAGAAGCGGGTGGATATGTTGCCTTTTTTAAAAGCACAAGGATATCATCTAGTTGCTCAATCGAAATTGCAGCACACTGGCTCTTTAGTCTCTCAGGGCTGGATGCAAGTTTGTCGAATGTTTCTGCAAGCTTTAAGTAAATTGAAGAGTAATACGACATTGGTCTTCGATTTGAAAGTGGCACCAAAAAATTGGTAAATTGGTCAACATTTTAATTTAATTTTCCAATGAGCGACGCCTTCAATGCACTCAAGGGCCAAGTTGAAATCATGGATATGCTCTACATGCGAATGGTGGCTCAGTGCAAATCAAAATGCCTAGCTGCCGGTGCTTCCACTTACAAAGAATCAACAGGCCCAGAGCTAAGCAAAGGGGAGTCCGTGTGCCTTGACAGATGCGTTTCCAAGTATTTTCTGGTCTTCGAAAGGATATCGACTGTTCTTGCAGAACGCAGCCAAAACCTTGCATAGAGCATGCAAAAATACGGGGTTAATTTCCAAACTTTCTTGGGCGCAAATTCGACATGATGCAATGGCAAATAAATCAATTAAACTTGCCTCAACGGTCGAGCTATCAATAGATAATTTCAACAGAATCGCCATCCTCGAGCCCTAATGTTGAGATCAATGTTCCACGATCCAAAGCATCGCCATCAAATCTGAAAAGCTGTGGAAGAGGATAAGAGTCCCGCGTGAAAATGTCTTCAAGTGTCTCCTTTTCAGGTAAAATGTCCCTAATGATGATAGGGCTTTTGTTTTGCTCCTTGGTGAATTTGAGGTGATCCCATTTTTTGAATATTGATTCAGATTCTGAGGTCAGACAACGAATGGTGCGAGAATACTCGTCCCATGACTCCGGTTCTGACTCAACGTTAAATAACTCGATCGTTATTCGATCAGGCCCATGTTCTGATGAAAAAAGTGGAAGAATTGAGGCTAGCCTAGTGCAAGAAACTATCCGAATTCCATCAAAAATGTAGAAACTGTTGGCGGGCGGCGCGGGAAGAGCCTCAACAGTCGATTCCTAATAATTAAAAGAAATCGATACTGAGGAAAAAGGACCATAGACGCGATATCCCTCCGAAACACGCCTCTGGGAAGGAAATATTTTCACAAGTACATTCATCGTCAATGCAGAGGAAATCTCCGATCGATCGGGCAAGGGTTGCGGATCCGATATGGGTAAGTTATTTGAGTAAGTGGGCGTTTCCAGCGGCATCGAAGCATCTGATGAGGTGGATGATAAGGAATTCTCCTTAATACGGCCACAGTTTTCTACGTGTCGGCAAACGATCTCCACGTCACTACTTTCTGGGTCGGTTTCAATATCGAAAGGGAGGACCTGTGGTAGAGGTAACTGGAAAGCTTGATCCTGCTCAGAAGGTCTCTTTGGCCGTTTTACTGCAAATGCACTTCTTGACATGAAGAGGGAGGTAAAAAGGTCATCATCGGCATCGGCATCGTCATCGCCAGTTGGGGTGGAAACTCTTTTCATCGTCGATGAAAATTTAAAATTTTATTATTGGGTGGGCGAAATTAAAATCACAGCGTCGCCCCTGACAAACAACATCTCAAAAGCTCTGCTGATGATCTACGCATGGTTAAAAGTGGTATTTTCACTTTGATGGTGTCCTCCAATGTCTCTGGATTGGTCTCTAAATATGTAAGCGTCTCTGTGACGTCGGCAAGTATGAGATTCATATGTTGGTCGAAGCCCTATCATTACCGTGCATATAGTTACGTGAAGACGGCCCGAAATTTCTCTATTAGACTTGCACTTTACCAGGACATATTCGTCCAAGGCCAAGCTCACCAGATCAATAGGGGCCTGCAGTTGAGCCATTAAACGAAAATAAAATTTCAATTGCCGTGAATTTTAAAGCAATTCAATTTATTAAATAAACCGTCAAAAGACCTGAAATTATTACGCGCTCCAACATAAATACAGAAGGCTCAGCGGAAAATAATCGCTGGTGTGCCGATCTTTTGGGTATGAAAGCTGCAGATGGCTAGCGTGTTTCTGAAGAGCACCATTGGATAATACTTCCATCATGATAGATAGCGACAAGAAAGCTACAATTGAAAGTGGAGGCATACCTTTCATCTGGGCTCATATGTACGCCTCTGACGGGGAAAGGCTTTGAAAAAGGCATCAGTATCTGCGGCTCAATGCTGGGCGAGTATTTGTATGGCCTAATATATCTTAACGACGGTTTGGGTGGTGAATTTTCGATAAGCTTGTCAATCAGTCTTTTCTCGTTGGCAAAATGTTGGTCTTCATCTGGGATGCCATAGTACGACAAGGGAGCCTGGGGAAAATAGATCTCAAAATTTGGCATCGTAGATGGAGCCTCTTCATCCAATTCCTCATGCTCCTCATCATAAGAAGAGCTCCCATTTTCATCTTGATCTTCAAACAAAAGCCGCTTTGTGATGAGATCTCGAATTTTCCACAAAATAACAGATCCGCTGTCAGTCCCTGCGACAAGAAAAGATGCTGAAATTGAGAAAGGAATGTACCAAAGGGTATTGCTTTTAGGAAGCGTGGCACTGGCAACCATTGTCATGGGCGAGGGTCTTTTCTCACATGCGATAATTTTGGAAGCTTGTATGTGGAATAAATTTCCCATAGGCTCCCTCCGAGATTCATTAGAGGGCTTTGCACACTCTTCCACGCATGGCCCTGAATCTGGATGCCAGAAGCGGATGTGTTTTGAGATGCCTTTTGATACGCAGATATCTCCAAGCCATTTGACACAATCGACATAACTAACATGGATTTGGTTGTTGGAGAAGAGAGGAAACTCCTCTCGCCGGGTACTATGGGGTTTCCCACGCTCAGATAAGATAAATGAGATGTCCCAGATTTTAACATACCGATCCATCCCACCAGAAAGCAAAAGGGTCCCCTCCGCATTGGCATCCTTGAAAAAGCATCAACATTCATACGCAAGTGAGAACCTGATCGATGTGTCCAGCGTGGCCCCCAAATACAGCGAGCAGTTGACCCGTGGTGATATTCCAACATCTTAATGTCTTATCTTTCGATGCTGAGAAAATTACGTCCGGCAAGATGGGATGGCGACAGAGGTCGTTTATGGCATCTCCGTGCCCGACCAATGACTCGATAAAAAATTACAAAAGCATATACCATGAGCTTCATTGCATTGTTTCCAGCGCCGGATATTTGAATTACATGCAACAAGCCAGATTCGCCGCCAACCACGAGTAGGGGATTTTGGAGATCATTCAAAGAAAACACAGATCGATACAGAGATTCCTACGAAAAGAGAAATTATGACACCTCCGGCTGATCTATCTTAATTTTTGCGACTATTCGCATCGCTTGGGAATGGGAGGCCAATAGGATACTAATCTACGCCATATGCACTAATGAAATACCCTTTGGCCCCCAACTACGGCAAACATATGCAACTGATGCGGATCAGTAGGCGCTATGGTGGAGGAAGTTATTGAAGATGGATAAAACGAAAGGCCATAAAGGGGCACAGTGTTCTCCTTGGGTTGAATAGTGTGTTTATGTTTGAAATGAAACATGAATTGGTTCGTTGTGGGGGATTTAAAAATTGAAAATTTACTTTGACATCCCAAATGGCGTTGAGGGGAATTTTGAATCATTCTCCACGCAAAAGGTACATGCTCCTTCTTTTCCCGCGCGGGGGAGGCGATGGAGAGTTGACCGTGGAGCGTGGACTTTCTTTTTTAGCTGCATCAGATGATTTTGTCCGCTCAACTTTACCTTCGTCTGACCTTTTTTTTAAACTATCCCTTTTCTGAATTGACGGAGTATCCTGAGGTTTTATGGATTCACTCTTTCTCCTGCTGCGAGAAGATCTTCTATTTGGTGTGTATTTAACTAAATGGGTAGATTGGGAGCTACTAGCTGAATCAGATGGGGAACTAGGGACCGGACCAGACGGTGGACTGGCTTCTGCGTTAAATCCATTAACCGATCTGAATGAAC